AAAAAAAAAAGACTGCAACTTGCTCCCAGGGACTGGAGAAAATTTAAAAAAAGGAAGGTTGGAATCCATCAGTGTTCTATTAGTCATCTTCGCCTTCATCCTCCTGAAAGAAAAAGTGGGCAGTTAATCTTCAGGATTAAAGCTGAGACTACTTGTTCGCTTTCACATGGACCACACTGGACCCCAAAGAACATATGCTCTGGGGTCACTTCATTTTCTAAACCTGAAAGTCAGCTGCATCGGTTCGACTGAAAGACCCATGATGTTTCTTCAGATAAATTAGTAACTTTTCAGCTCTAACCAAATCAGGCACATTTCAGATCAAATAATCCAAAATAAAACCAACCTATCCTAATTTGACTACTCGGGAATTTTGCAGTTTGTCTAAAATATGTGGAGTTTTGTTATTTCAGCAATGTCAGAATTTGACCAGCTACACTACCTACATCGCTTAAGTGTTGGCTAGGGAAAAACAAGCTTGGGTGGTGAAAAGACTAACCAAAAGGGGGAGCAGGGGGGAAGAAAAACTAGTTAAACATTAGTACCATGAGCTTATCAAACATTTCCTTAATTCTTAAAAAACAAAAAATGGCTCATCTTTTCCCCACAATCAGTTCTGGTCAGTTTCATCACACACACTATATATATGTATATGCATATATGTATCTCCCCCAAAACAACATAGTGAATTCTTTAAAGTTTATCTTTGTGGGCTTAGCCAAATTTTCTTTTACCTCTCCTTCCTCCCCTTCATCATCATCTTCATCTTCTTCACCTTCATCCTCATCCCCTTCTTCATCGATATCTTCTAATCCTTCCTCCTCTTCATCATCATCATCATCTTCTTCTCCTTCTCCTTCTTCATCATCCATATCAGGAACCTTAAAAAAAAAACCCCAAGTTACCTCAAGGACTCATTTTTAAACAAATGAGACAAATACAACCTTGAATAAATGAATTATTTCAACTTACCAAGTAGTATTGTAATGGGTTTGGCCAAATATCATCTTTGATGACCTCTCCTAATTCATCAGCACCTGCATCAGAATGGTCAGTAAACCAGGTAAAGAAGCTCTCTGGTTCCTCATGCTGCCTCTTCCTGCTGGCTTTATTCTGCGTTTGACTTGAACGTTTCGTCAAATCCTAAATGAATACACGAAGAGCTTTTGACACAATCTCTCCATAACTCCCAAACTCCCAATAATTAAAAAAATAAGATTTTCCCCCCAAAAGTGAAGCAAAACAAACATCTGTATAATACCTACACTATTACCTAAGAGCAACTGTAAAATTATACTAAATAACAATGGTACTAAATCAACTAAATTTTATTTTCCATAAAATTAGTTCCATTTTAACAGCCATTAGCACAAAACATTATATATATTTAAATTATGTCTTACTACCTAAATATAGATGTAAATGAATTTTGAGAAATGGTAAGCTGGCCGGGCATGGTGGCTCACGCCTATAATCCAAGCACTATCACCTGAGGTCGGGAGTTCAAGACCAGCCTGACCAACATGGTGAAACCCGGTCTTTAAAAATAAGAAAAGAAAAAGAGAAATGGTAAGCTATTTGAAGATCTCAGTCACCCTTGCAGAAAAGCAAAAAAAATTTAGACCAGTTTTCAATTCTTAAACTTGCACTAGATTTTCTTTTCTTTTTTTTTTTGGGGGGGGGGGAAGGGAGGGTCTACATGACCTAGGCTGAACTCCTAGGCTCAAGAGATCTTCCAGCCTACAGCTGTAAGCTCTAATGAGAACTCTAACCTACTGTTATATTTGGTTTCAGTATACTGCAACATTTTACACTTTAAGGTTTTGCATTTAGCCACATGACCAAATTATCAAGCACTTGTAAATGGTTTAAATTAAACCAAAATAGGTGAAATGATTTTTTGTCAATAATTCCTCAAAGCGTACCTTTCCAGATTTCCATTTGATTTCGGTGGACTTTGAAGATGGATCACCACTCTCATTCAGATGAAATTCTTTGGAGAGAACTTTATTTTCAAAGTAAGGATTTTCATCAAAATACTGTAATAAATAATCAGAAGATTTAGACATACAAACAGCTCTTCCAACCAAAGCTCACATTAATTTCCACACTGGCAAATAAGATTAAGTTAGAGATACTTACAAAATCTATTCTGTAACCTGATTTAATATCTTCAAATTCTGTCACTTCAACTCTGGTCAAATAATGCAGTGCCTCTTCGTCCTCCTCCCCAAGCAGGGCAGACACTAGGCCAGAAATTATAGGTCAGCTGAATTTTCAACAGGCAAACATTAACAACAATTTAAATGCTTCCTTTAAAATTTTTCCAAACTTAGTGAGCATCTTTATTTTTATAAACCCATTATTAACTAAAGGCAATTGCTCCATGCCAGACTATCACTATCTTTCATCAAGCACTTAGAATACAGCTTTCTCCTAAACAGAAGAGAAAGCAATAACTGCCAAGTCGTTTCCCATCTTTGAGGGTTTCAACCTCTGCATACAATCCAGCATGTTGGACTAAGCCTTCACCAAGCTTCCTCAATTCTAACACTATTTATCCTTTAACAATGCACTGTCCAAAACATACCTTGTGGATGGTTGACAAATGTTGTTACCCAAAAATTTGGGATTTTGGCGATCAATTCTGACCTCTTCTGAAAAAATGGTTGGCGGAGTTTGTTATATTTCTGTTCTACTTTCAAAATCTCCTCACTGGCTTGTTCATTAAGTCTGAAGCAAAAAGAGATATTGACTATGATAGTAGTTAATCTAAAAAATTGGTTGAGATTACAGAATGTGTGTATTTACTTACTAGCTTTGGAACTATGCAAGGTACCAAATTATAATAACCATTATTACCTAGTTTACACACTCAAGTCAAAACTAAGGTGGCAATTGTCTGATTTATGAATAAACACTCAGTAATGACTGTAGAGAGTGCCCAAACAACATTCCGGTAACATTGTGCATTTACTTCACCTATTATTTCCAAGCCAATTTCAATTGTTTCCCTCAAGCATAATTTCTAACTAAAGTGGCTAATTCAGTAACAAAGTGGCTAATTCAGTAACAAAGTTGTAAGGCAAGCTAAAGCAATCGCTGATGCCACATTACGTAACTATCAGAAGACCCACACTGCAATTCAGACAATTTTTAGACTTTGAAAGCAAAACCCAGACCTCGCAAGGTTAATGTACTTTCAAAAACTTTGTACAAATACTACACCAAAAAAACACTGAATCTACATGTTTCCAACCAAGTTAGAATCACTTCCCCTTTGACAGGGGATAGATGTGAACATAGTTTCAATGATTACTGGGCCATTAGACATGTCAGAAAATTTCTCCAAAGTATATTAATAAAAACGTTACCTGTCTATTTCATTTTGTACTTCATCAATGTGTTCAATTGCTTCTTGCTGTTCTTTTTCTGCAAAAAAGGAGCAAAAAACTTAATTCCAATTAGAAGATAAATTTACCGAGTTTTCTAGATGTTAATACTATAATATTCCAAAAACCATTTAAAAAAAAAAAAGCCTACTACAAAGGTAAGCGTTCCACATGTTCATGCTTGCGACTGACAAATTTCTTTTTAATTAAAGACCATTCACACGTCATGCTATCTGCTGGATTACTCAGAAATTGGTTTTCTATAGCGTCGTTTAGTTTCCCTATAACAAACAGATCGTTAAGGTTTCTACTATGAAAGATACAAAATAACCTTATTCAGAAGTCTTCACGTTTATAATTTCACATTATACACTTGCAAGAGAACAGTAGCAGCTGCTAACTAAAATATAGAAACTAAGCCCATGACAATGATACAAATTAGGCCATCACTACCACCTATCAATGGTAAAACCGTCTTTCACAGAAAGTTGACGATTCCGCTATTACAATGAAGGCAAAAGACACGCCTACAAAGACACGAAAGGCACCGGGCACCATTCTACACACTGGCCTTCGCCTTCTCAGAATATGAACCCCTACAACCCAATTCAGGCAGGCAGACTTCAGATGCGGCCTCACACGACTTTGGAGCACTTACTGGGAGCAACTGTAAGGTCAGAAAATCGTGAGGCACAGAAGGGAGAGGAGGAAAAGGGGGTGTGCTCTGGAATACGTGCCCTTTTGTCCCGTAAAGACTGCAAACCCTACAAAGCTAAGTGGGTGTGAAGGGGGCAGATCGCACGGTTCATTTCCGGTAATCATCCCGGGATTGGCAGCCCCCCTGCCGAGACAGTCTCCTCGGCAGAGGCCAGCTTTCTTAGCCATTTCCAAGACCCCCGATCCACTAGTCGCGGCGCCAGGCTTCTCCGCACGCTGGCGCGACGGGGCGGCCGCCCCACGTGGGGAGTGCGCCCGGGTCGGCCAGAGCATCTTCCCCGCCGGCCAAGGCCCAGCGCGCGGCCGGCCGCGTGCTCCCCGCGCCCCCACCCCGCCCCAGCTCCAGGCAGAAACACCGCCGGGACCAGTCTCCGGGCGGGGGTTCTGGGGATGCCGCCGCGGGCCGGGCGCGTACGGGAACCGCGCGGGAGGTAGGGCGCGGGGCCGCGTCCGGCCGCACCATGTGGCGGCGGCGGCGGCGGCTGATGGGAGCGAGGCATCATGGCGGAGCACAATAAAGAGAGGCTTCTCGGGAGGGAGGGAGGGGGAGGAGAGCGAGGGAGGGGGGAGAGGAAGGGGGGGTCTCCTCCGCCCGCGCCGAGCAGGCCGCAGCGCCCCCGCCTCGCAGAGCCGGCCGCCGCCGCGGCGCCACCCAGGCCCCCCAGCCCCGCCGCACACAAAAAAGGGCGCCGAGCTCGCGGGCCCTCGCCCGGCCGCGCCGCGCACCACCCCCCCGCCAGGCGCCCCCTGCGCGCGCCCCGGGCCCCGCCGGCGGCCTGCGGGCCGGGGCGGGCGGCGAAGATGGCGGCGCGGGCCGGCCCCCGGGCTCCCTGCTCTCACCTGAGGTCTCGTCGGCCCCGTCGTGGTTGGAGTTGAGCTCCTTTTTACTGACTTTGGCCGCCGGCGCCGACATGGTGCTGCTCCGCGGTCGGGGGGGGAGCGGGGAGGGGGAGAGAAGGGAAGGCGAAGGGGGCGGGCAGGCGGCTTCCCCTCACGCCACACGCGCGGGCGCCCGCTCGGTCCGGCCGCCTCCTCCCGGCGCTTGCTCGCTCTCCCTCCCCCTCGCTCGCTCGCGCGCGCTGCCCTCGCGGCCTGACGCCGAGGGACGGGCTGGGGCGGCGTGCCGGGCCGCGGCCCGGGCTCCTGCTCGCGGAGGGGAGGCGGAGGCGGCGGCGGTAGCTGGCGGCGGGCGGCTCGGCTCTCTCACTCGCGCTCGGCGCTCCAGCCAGCTAGCTGCTCGCTCTCCCGAGCCGCCTCCTCCTCCACCTCCTCCTACGGCGAGGGGCGGGCGCAGGGCGCAGGCGCGCCAGGCCCCACTTGGACGCTCCGCCTCCGGCTGGGGAGGCTCGCGCCGCGGCGCCATTGGCCCGGGCGGCGGGACCAGGGGGCGGAGCCGCGGCGCGGAGACACAGGGCCCGGCGAGAGGCGGGAGGAAGGCGCGCGGCGACGCACGGCCGCCCCCCGCGCGGCGTCCCCTCCCCCGCTCTCCCCTCTCCAGCCGGACCCGGGACACTGGCGCGCGGCGGGCCGGGGGGCGGGGCCTCGCACGGAGGCGCGGGTGCCCACGGCCGGCGCGTCACGTGGTTCACAAGCGGCTTCCCTTCTCCATGGGGCGCCGAGAGGTGGGCGCCCGCTACACCGAAAGTGCAGGCCCGGCCTCACGTGGGGGCCCCGAACTCCACCCGGCCTTTCGGCGCCTTCCTCTTCGTGGAGAAGGCAGGGGGCACCCCCATCCTGGATGGCAGATGGGGAACCTGCTGGTCGGACTCAAACTCGGGCTCGTGTGCGAAGCCCCAGGCTGTGCAGTCCGCGCGCAGGGCCATTCCTGGGTTTTAGTCCAAGCCCTGCCCAGCAGGCTTGTACCCTTGAGCAAGTCACCCTTCCTCTCTGGACCCGTTTTTGTTATGAAATGATAAACGTTGCGACACTGAAGCTGGGCCACACTAAACTCGAAGTCCTGTGAAGGCAGGAAGATACCATATTAGTCCGCGGTGCCCAGCGCCTGCAAGAACCATATGGAGCGCTAAGTGCCAGTTTCAGCAACGCATGGCACGGTAATCTCACCGAGGCCCCACAGTAGCCCCAAACGATAGGCAGTTCTGTTCCCAGAGATGAAAGGGGCCAACAAGGTCTAAGAGGAGGGCCAAAACATTTAGTTTAAATACTTTTCAAGTAATGCGGATGCCTCAGACCCTGTCCCTCCAGCGCCCCAAGACATAAAACCATAAAAAGCCTGAAAAACCCTGATTAGTAGCATTTTGTTTTGTTTTGTTTTTGAGACAGAAGTTCGCTCTTGTTGCCCAGGCTGGAGTGCAACGGGGTGATCACGGCTCACAGCAACCTCCGCCTCCCAAGTACCTGGGATTACAGGGGCCTGCTATCACGCCCGGCTAGTTTTTGTATTTTTAGTAGAGACTGGGTTTCACCACGTTAGCCCGGCTGGTCTGGAACTCCTGACTTCAGGTGATCCGCCCACCTCGGCCTCCCAAAGTGCTAGGATTACAGGCGTCAGCCACCGCACGGGCCAGTAGCATTTGTTTCAAAACCTGGCTGGGCGTGCAGTGGCTCATGCCTGTTATCCCAACACTTTTGAGAGGTCAAGGCAGGAGGATGGCTTGAGCCCAGGAGTTCCAGGCTGCAGTGAACCCTAAGGCAGCCACTGCACTGAAGCCTGGGTGACAGAGCAACCCTGTCTCTAAAACAAAAACAAAAAATACCTGAAATCTCTCTCTAGACATTTGTAACCAGAACTTGGGGTTGGAATTTTGTCTTCCAGAACTCACACTTTACTATTGGCTCTTTTTTTGAGACCAAGTCTCACTCTGTCTTCCAGGCTAGAGTGCGGTGGTGCGATCTGGGCTCACTGCAACCTCTGCCTCCCGGATTCAAGTGATTTCCTGCCTCAGTCTCCTAAATTGCTAGATTACAGATGTGAGTCGCCAGGCCCGGCTAATTTGTGTATTTTTGGTGGAGACAGGTTTTCACCATGTTGGCCAGGTGGGTCTCAAATTCCTGACCTCAAGTCACCTGCCTGCCTCTGCCTCTGAAAGTGCTGGGATTTCAGGCAGGAGCCACTGTGCCCACCCCACTATCAGCTCTTAAAGCTCAAGCAGCATCTTTTATGTTCAAGACAGTGCATTGGTGAGTGATTAAAAAATGTTAAAAAAAAAAAAAAAAGGGCATATGGTCTATGCACAGAGAGAATACAAATGCCTTGGAACTTCCCCCAAAATCGAGAAATTCATCTAATCCCTCCTCCAAACCTTATTCTCAATTGACTCTAGCTCAATCAATTAATAGTTATCACAATTGGACATTTTTTTTTGAAATGCAGTCTCTGTCACCCAGGCTGGTGTGCAGTGGCGTGATCTTGGCTCACTTACAACAAAATACAAGGTAGGTTTTAATATTCTCGTATCACAGATAAACTAAACGTTTTTTGTTTTTTTTTTAAGAAGGAATCTCGACCTGTCGCCCAGGCTGTAGTGCAGTGGCTTGATGTCGGCTTACTGCAATCTCTGCCTCCTGGGTTGAAGCAATTCTCCTGCCTCAGCCTCCTGAGTAGCTGGGACTACAGGCATGCGCCATCATGCCCAGCTAATTTTTTAATATTTTTAGTAGAGGCTGGGCGTGGTGGCTCAAGCCTGTAATCCCAGCACTTTGGGAAGCCGAGGCGGGTGGATCACTAGGTCAAGAGATCGAGACCATCCTGGTCAACATGGTGAAACCCCGTCTCTACTAAAAATACAAAAACATTAGCTGGGCATGGTGGTGTGTGCCTGTAATCCCAGCTACTCAGGAGGCTGAGGCAGGAGAATTGCCTGAACCCAGGAGGCGGAGGTTGCGGTGAGCCGAGATCGCGCCATTGCACTCCAGCCTGGGTAACATGAGTGAAACTCCATCTCAAAAAAAAAAAAAAAAAAATTTTTAGTAGAGACGAGTTTTCAGCATGTTGGCCAGGATGGTCTACATCTCCTGACCTTGTGATTTGCCCACCTCTGCCTCCCAAAGTGCTGGGATTATAGGCATGAGGCACCATGCCAGGCCTTTTTTTTTTTCTTGAGACGGAGTTTTGCTCTGTTGCCCAGGCTGGACTGCAGCGGGGCAATCTCGGCTCACTGCAACCTCTGCCTCCCAGGTTCAGGTAATTCTCCTGCCTCAGCCTCCTGAGTATCTGGGATTACAGGCACCCACTACCACTCCAAGCTAATTTTTGTATTTTTTAGTAGAGATGGGGTTTAGCCATGTTGGCCAGGCTGATCTCAAACTCCTGATCTCAGGTGATCTACCCACCTTGGCCCCGCAAAGTGCTGAGATTACAGGCCTGAGCCACCCACTGCGCCCAGCATAAACTTTGTTGCAAGTGGCAGAACTAAGATTCTAAACCAAGTAGCAGTTGGCAAAGCCCTTACCTTAAGACACTGTCTTTCAAAATTTTTTTTAATTTATTTATTTTTTCTTTTTTTTTTTTGAGACAGAGTCTTGCTTTGTTGCCAGGCACCAGGCTGGAGTGCAGTGGGATCTCAGCTCACCGCAACCTCCACCTCCTGGGTTCAAGCAATTATCCTGCCTCAGCCTCCTAAGTAGCTGGGACTACCGGCGTGCGCCACCAGGCCCAACTAATTTTTGTATTTTTTTTAGCAGAGACAGGGTTTCACCATGTTGGCCAGGATGATCTCGATCTCGTGACCTTGTGATCCACCCACCTCGGCCTTCCAAAGTACTGGGATTACAGGCGCGAGCCACCGCGCCAGGCCGAAAAATTTATTTTTATTTACTTATTTTTTGAGACAGAGACTCCCTGTGTAGCCCAGGCTGGAGTGCAGTGGTGCAACCACTGCTCACTGCAGCCTTGACCTCCTAGGCTCTGGGGATCCTCTCACCTTAGCCTTCTGAGTAGCTGGGACCACAGGCAAGCGCCACTGCCACCTTGCCTGGCTAATTTTTATTTTATTTTATCTTTGTAGAAACGAAGTCTCACCATGTTGCCCAGGCTGGTCTCAGACTCCTGGGCTCAAGCCATACTTCAGCCTCAGCCTCCCAGAGGTCTGGGATTACAAGAGTGAGCCACCACACCCCGCCTCAATTTTTTTAATGTGACCAACAGTCAGCAGTACTTTTGACATCATGACCTAGCACACACAAACCAAAACTTACCCTTACCGAGGGTGATGTGATTCTAATTTCCTATTTAAAATGCAGGTCAACCCCCCACCAAGCTGATTTCAGGACCCACTCCTCCTGGGATGAATCTGTCTGAGAACACTGTGCCCAGGGCTGCTGCTTCCATCCTCAAAGCCTGACCCACAGTGTCACTCCTGACCCACAGTGGAGACTAAGTGCCTGATCTGACCGTTTCCCAATCACCTGCAGGGGTCCCAGGGAACCCTTAATGCCTTCTGCTGGGGCAGTGGGCTTGCAGGCTCCCTTTCTAGTCTTCCAGCCCTCCCCACCACCTCTCTGCCCCTCCTTTCCTGCCCTTCCCCACACAGTGCTTTTCAAGATAAATGTGAGGAGCACACTAGGAAGTTGAAGAGAAAGAGAAAGCAAAAGGCCCAGGGGTGTCAGTAAACTGGGGCGAGCAGTGGCCACACTAAGAGGTTTATTCACCCACTGTTGGGACTCTGCTCTCTCCCTGTCTCCAGCAGCCAGTAGCTCTGCATTCTCTCCTTGGCCTCTCCCCTCACTCATAATTCCTCTCTCTCCTCTCTCCTTCCCTTCCTGGCCCCTTTGTTGTTTTGTGCCCCCACCCCACCCTCTTGTCCCCCAGGCTGGAATGCAATGGCACAATCTCAGCTAAGTGCAACCTCCCACTCTGGAGTTCAAGCGACTCTCCTGTCTTAGCCTCCCAAGTAGCTGGGATTACAGGCACGCGCCACCATGCCCAGCTAATTTTTTGTATTTTTA